GTCACCCCACAGCATAAGGCTGAGCGATACCAACAGAGAGCACTGTAGGCATAAGCATGGCACTGCCTGGCTACCATACGACTGGCTCCTGCCCAGTTCTCCCATACCTTCTCTCCCATATTTTTCACAAATACTACGTCCTTTCATTCAGAAAGGGATTTCTCTGTGATTTCCAGGTAGCAGTTTAGGACCAGCCTGTTGGAAAGATGCTTCTCCGCAGCTCTGCTTGGAATACAGCCGACGGCTGTACGGGAAGGTGGGAAAAGCCCTCTGTCAAGCCAGTATCCCGCCTATATCCCATATGGGTGAGACGGGCAGGAGGGAACCAAGATTCAACCTGCCATAGGGCTCCAATTTTACAGTATGTGTAAGGGCTGTACTTCATTCCACATACAGGATGGATACAGCTATGCACCGCCATATGCAAGTGATTTGGGTCAAAACTACAGTTTTGTTTTTGCATGGTTTTGTTTTTGCAAAAACATTTTTCCTTCTCTCCCCCCCCCGGTTTTGAGCTGAGCTTTGCTACAATTATTGGATGGAAAAGAATTTTTCCAAAAAGAGGTTTTTGTCATCTGTTTCCTCTACAGTACAACCCTCTAGTTTGCATCATCCAGCTCAGTAAGCATTTTTTATAGATGTCCAATTAGATTAACTTTTGGCTCATTTTATTTATGCTTCCCTTTTCAAATGACGATTAGCTTTTCTGACTTTGTTTTGAAAATTTCCTTCAAAAATAATGTCCTGACGTCTGGATTCAAGCACATATAACTTATGGCTTAAATAACTTAGTCCTAACTATAATACAATTATAGTAACGCATAACTATATATCATATACATAGTGCATGTGTGTGAGCGTATAGTTAAATAATTTTATAACCTATATAAGCACTACATTAAATAGCGCTCAGTCCAAAATCCAGAAGACAAGGTCTGCAGTTCAGTATGACTGAATTGCTCTGCATTTCCTCCTCAGGTAGGATAACAGTTTGGTCTCAAGTTTGGAAAGGAGAAAAGAAAAAGATTAAATTCAGCCAACCAGCATCCAGAAGACAACAAATAGATAAACAGCTGCCAGTCTAGGTCTGTCAGGAACAAATCACATAAAGACTATTTAAGTTCACTTTAGGACAAGGTATAGTCCTCGCGGTCAGAAGAGAAGCAACAGACGTATCAAACACTTTGACTTTTACTAAGGTTTCTGTCCTAACGCTGCCTCTCCTAACATGCTCATGAGAAAGCAACAGAAACATGGTTTAGATGAATGGGCTGTAAGGTGAGGGAGTGCACAATGAGCAGGATACTCTCTTTACTCAAAGAGCAGGTCTCAATGACTTATCAGCAAAATGGAAGGATGCAGTATCAAATGCATTTCTGCAGGGGACTGCCCTGGGTCCAGTGTTATGCCATATTTTCACTAATGATTTAGATACTGAAAGAGAGAGTTGGCTTATAAAAATTTCGGCTCATACGAGGCTGAGAAGACTGCATTTAAGTTGGAGGATGGGATTAGTATTTGAAATGTTCTTAAGCACTTGGAGAAACGACTGGGAAGGACTGGGGCGCTATTCAGGAGAGACCAGTATAACAGAATACGCAGACACACAAGTAACTGCACAAATCAAGAAACAATTTGCCAAAGAGCCGTTCTTCAAAAAGGATCCGTGGATTACAGGCGCTTACAAGCTGAACGCGAGAAAACCATGTCAAGCTGCTGTGAAAAGGCAAACATTGCAGTGGAGTGTGTAAACAGAAGCTCAGCCTAAAGAATCTGCAAATAACCCTTTGGGTCTTGTATCCTGGTGCAGCTTTAAAGCCTATGCTCAGATCTGGTTTCTGCATTTTGAGAAGGACACAGAGAAACTGAAAAATGTGCAGCAGAGGTCCGCAAGAATAATCAGACATGCAAGGTATGACCTCAAAGGACAGACTGAACAAGCTGGTGGTGTCCTGCCTAAAGAGAGAAGCTTGAATCTTCATCTATGCAGAAGGTAGGGAAGAGCTTAGCCCCTGCAGTCCCAATAGCTTGCACTAATAGAACTGGGCCTGAACTGGGGCAAAAAAGGATCCAGAGTACACTTATGAATTATTTTTCTCGAGGAAACAGTGAGGCACTGGGGTAGACTGAAGGGAAGTCACTTATCAGTAACAGAGTAGGCATGTCGAGGGACCGATTAAACCAACCCTGGTGTTGCCTTCCTGCCCAACATCCACTGCAAAAGTGCCATTACATTAACGACATAACTGTCTTCGATACTAGTAACAACATGGAACCATCAGGAGAAGTTTTCGGTTAGAACAAATATTGCTTTAGAAAACGCTGCAAAAAGGCCACTGCACTCACCCTGGGCCATGGACTAAAGGCCTTCAAAGACCTCTCAATTTTATTTTAAGCTCCCGTTCCAATCATATCTTCTGGTCCCAGCCTGGAAACTGCCTAGAGCAAAGGAACTCTGACCCACGGCCCAGAGGGCAGGAGGAAGTTACGCAGCTATTCAGAAGGAAGATGCTGAGCAGGGGAGAGCACCGGCAGCGCTCCCCAGCGCAAGCCTCGCTCACTGTGCTCACAATCAAGAAACAAACAGTCCTCAGAAGGCCACAAATCCTGTGCTCAGCAGGCCACTAAGTTTATCCAAGTGCTCAAGTATCAAGAAAAGATTTGACTCTTAACTGACAAGAAGTTGGTAAAATAATTCAAACGCGAACTGTGAATGCATGAGCAACTACATTTTGAATTAGCTATTGGGAGTCTCCTACCAACTCTTGTCATTATACTGTTGATAAGATGAGATAGCTGAGGATCTTATCTGCTGGAGTAATTTCTGCATACTAATTTTGGTCCTTGGAATTCTGTTGAGAGGCAAAAATCTTGGTCTCTTATGGCAACAAGAATTTTGTGCACATCTTGCGGCAACCCACTGCGTTTCCTCTGTAGATCTGTCTACCGCCCTTACGGATGCTCATATCTCAGAATACATCCGACTTCCTCGAAGGTCAGCCGTGGCACCAAGATTCCCAGCGTCTTTAAGAGCACGCCCTTCGCATGTCTCTTTTAGACACACCTGAAGTTCAGTATCCACATTTCTGAACTAAGTTAGATACTGAGTCATTCATTTTGACATGAATAACTCTTGGGATAACCTAAGAACCCCTTGTTTTCCAAGGAGTCACGCAAAGGAAGTGTCACAGCTGTTGTGCATTTACCCACCCAAATTTTAGAAGGGAATGGAGAAACTAATAAAACTCCAGCTGTAGCCAGAAATATTTCTAGTCGGCTCCTGGTTTGCGAGAAGCCCTCCACGAGCAGCCCCAGCTGCACTGCTCGGTTCGGCAGCAGAGGGTGCCGACAGCACGCCCGGGGTCCCTGCAAGGATTGCCACCACCAGCCAGCTGTGCCCGTGATTCGCCCACGGCGTGCACTTCGCAGGAGCCTCGCTTTGCCAGTACAGTACCAGCAAACGGTTTTCAACTAGGTTTTAAATTTCACCCTCAGTCTGTAAGACCTGCTCACGCGATGCTGCACCGCAGAGCACGCTCAATCCTGCGCCTCACACGCGGCTTTCAAATCCGCAAGCGGGTCTAGACGGCAGGTCGCGAGCTAGGTATAAAACGTCTCGGCGGGTCTTTTGATTCCAAGAGAAAACGATCAACCGAGATCTCAGGTTCGCATCTGACCTTCGCCAAGCTGCTCCTCCGGCTCAGCAGCGCCCGCTGCCCCCTGCCTCACTAGGAAGCCAGGCGAAAATCCTCTGAAGCATCAGAAAAACTCACCGCCAGACTGCCGGGTTTTAGGTGAGGTCACCGAGAGTTTAACTGTTTAGTAAACGGACCTGACTAATTTAGGGAGAGAAACAACCGCCTTCCTTGGTGGGGCACATTTATTTTTCTTTTCAGGTGTGCTATTGAGCTTGCTAACTAACGATGAAGACGTCCAAGCCAAACGATCAAAAGTATTTCCTTGAATTATTTACAGCTTTTTGGAAGAGACTATACCTGACACAAAAACGTCTCTTAAAAACAGTAAGTAGCCCTAGTAAGTAGTTTATAGTTCCTTTAAAGAACAACAGTACGTGAATGAAGCAATACACTACTGCAAGCAGTTAATAAACTGCACAAAAATACCGACTCAGCTACTGCATACTGAATTTTTCAATTGCAAACATATATTTCAAACTTATTAATACACGGTTCTTATTTTCAAATACTCTGTAATTAATAAAGCTACTACGATTCTGTCGCCAATCAAAAGTCTACCTTATCACAGTCTCTGCTTACTGCTAATTAGTGCCCCCGCCCCCTATTAACTATGCCAAAATTGTACTTCTCAATAGGTAAACATGGCTTTTTTATTCATAATTAGCATGATATTTCCTATGTTCTCCTGTTAAAACCAAAGCCTGACCAAGTTCAGTCTCCTGCCTAAACAAGCACTATGTTTCTTAGTTTATAGTTACTATTAAAAAAATCCTCCCTGTTAAAAGGGGCGGGGTTAATGGACGAAGTTATAAAATGCATAAACTAAAGCTACCCGCGATTTCTCAAGGCAGATTTAATGAAATGCAACTGCTTAAAAGTCTTTCTTTTGAGCTGCACAAAAAGTCTCAAGCTATCCTATCAAAAAGGAAACAGTGCCGGGAGCTGCTATTTACGGCATCCCCAAACATGCAAGCAGTTTCTGCAAACCGTGTGCATCGGGAGCATCATTTGCATATTCACTCCAAGCACACTGAAAAGCGCCCTAGAAAATGTCAGTCGCAGGAAAAAAAAAAAAAACAACAAAAAAAATCCACCTTCTACTTCACCCATCTGCAAATACCTCTTAAAATCCTGCCCGCAATGCAGGCAGGCTACTAAAACGCAAGAGTAACATTTTACTTCCACCCCCCCGCCCCCGGCTTGCACGTTTTTCAAGTCTGTTCTCCTACAGCAAGCTGCGCCGGTTAGCTGGTATCGTGAGCGCGACACCCTGTCACAACTGCTGACTACTTCTGTCCTTACCTCTGGTGTGCACGGAGAGCAGCATTAGCAAGGAAATGTGCAGCTGCCAGTTGGCTTCCTCCAGCCAACCCATTGCAGCGGGAGCGCCGCGCTTCTGATTTGCTCGCGTCCGTCGCCCCGTTCCTTTTCTCTCCTTATTTCCCTGCTGGTCGGTGGCTGCGGGTCCGTCGGCTGC